ATTGGTTAGTTTAATTTTAATTTACTTCTGTAACGTGCTCTTTTTTTTCACTCTTTTAAATTGGATTTAAAATAGTCTTGTAACACTGACCTGTCATGCACATTGACCTGTCCTGCACGTTGGAGCGGGGAGGTTTTGTGTTAGGAGATAACACAAAACCTTTCTTTACGGTAATTGCAAAAAATCATGACATTTTAATCATGATTACATTTTAATCATGATTAAAATGTAACACCTCACAATGGTACCGAAAGATTATTTTTAGCTTAAACTTGTAACTTAGTTTAATCCACTTCAAATTTTCTTAAAACACGCTAAGAACTGTTTCATACCTATCACCAAAACCTCAAAATGAGTTTATTCATCTTTTAACATTCATGGTTCGATTTAAACTAATAAATGATATCAAAGAAAGAAATATCATGGAATCTTGTTTAATTTAACTGATGATATCGTGCATCATGAACAAATTTCACTAGTTTTCAGGTGTGCAGATGACTTTTATCAACAAAACGTTTTTATTAGAGAATCTTGAAGTTTATTGTAATACATGCTAAAGATGTTCAAACAAAATGTAATAAAAATTAAAAAAAAAAACTTTAAATTTAAACAAAAATAAAAAAAATAATTAAACTCCAATTAAATTTCATTGACAAGCTGTAGATCACAATGTTATTGTAATGCTTCTGTGATATTAGGTCATCTACCAGGTGTTTAACAATAAAAATAAAACATTAATTTTTAACTGTGATAACCGCTCATCAAATATGGTAGAGATTACTGTAGCTAAACAGAACTCAATTTTTGTAACATGTTTCGGAATAACTGAAAGTATTTATCGCGTTCAACATTGCGATGAAAATTATTAGGAAAATGTTTTAAAAAAACTGTTAAATATAAATCTGAAACCCGGTAGAGCGCCAGAGCATAATAGGTTAGCATCATTATTGATGGATAGCATTATTATTGATGGATTAAAAGAGTTAGGAGAACTATTTGAAAAACTAGCTGAAGACAGCACCAACAGTGACAGCAGAAGTGAGGCTTCAGTTTTATTATTTTTGGCATGAAATTTTGAGAGGAATTGAATGTGTGCAGCTCAGTCTAAAATTATTTTAAAGAAACATTCTACGTCATAAAATTCTTTTAGAGAAACATTCTACGTCATAAAATTCTTTTAGAGAAACATTCTTCGTCATAAAATTCTTTTAGAGAAACATTCTACGTCATAAATTATTTTAAAGAAGCATTCTACGTCATATAATTATTTCAGAGAAACATTTACGTCATAAAATTATTTTAGAAAAACATTCTACGCCATAAAATTCTTTTAGAGAAACATTCTACGTCATAAAATTCTTTTAGAGAAACTTCTACGTCATATAATTATTTTAGAGAAGCATTCTACGACATGAACTCATTAACGGCGAAACTTGCAAAAATTTGAGACAAGATTTGTGAAGGAGCAATAGAAAAAACCCTGTGTGAAAAATGTACTATAATCGATACTATATATATACTATAAAAATATATACTATAATCTATACCACATATATACTATAAAAATATACTATAATAAAGTTGATACTATAATCCTTATTAAAAAACAGCGAACTATGTCCAGAGAATTGGCTAAAGACGCAAACCTTTCTAAAAAAGTGAAATTTTATACTTTTATAGTGAAAAAAGCGATTACAAGATGTTACTCGGCATTAGAAAAGGATTCGAAAAACTCCACTAGAGCTTCTTACTTTTTCTTACATTAAATAAAAATCCTAATCTAATACTAAATTTTTGAATATTTCAAAATGACCGGTTTTGTCCTTAAACATGACCGGTTTTTTCCTTGAAAATGACCGGTTTTTTCCTTGAAAATGACCGGTTTTTTCCTTGAAAAGAGTATAATATTTTGTAAAAGCAAATTTTAAATTATATGTAATGAATTATATAATTTCAAAGAGTTCTGTATATTTTAAGTAAAATAATGATTTTAAAATTTTTCTTTGTATTTGTAGGGGAGAGTCTGGAGAAGTAAGACACGTAAATTTTTCTTAGGGTAATCGCAATACCTCTTTTATTTGATGTATAAACTGCACCAAACAAATTTTTACAAAAAAAATCTTCTTTTTAGGCACCGACTCAATCCCTTTAGATTTCCAGCCAATTATATTTAAGTATATAAATTTTTGCTTTTAGAGAAACCGTAACATTGGAGTAAAATGGGACAAGTGTCAGTAGAAGTGGGACAAATTAATTTAAAAAAATATTTTAACACAAATTATTAAATAGAAACTGATAAAATCATAAAATCATCTACTCGAAATAAAAATATATAAGAGCTTTCACCCATTGAAATAATCAAATGACGACGCAAAGAAGTGGGACATAAATATTTCTTTTTTCTGTCCCACTTCACCCCAATGTAAACACTTTTTTTAAATACATTTCAAAATTAGGGCTTCTAGTGCACACATGGAAACAAAGCAATTTCAGCTAAATAGAGGTGAAGAAATTTAATTGTTTACATTAAATAAAAGTTTTCAGACACCACTTCTAATTAGAAATTTCAGGCTGTCCCACTTCTTTCGTGCCCCACCTCTCCCCACTCTCCCTTATATCAATTTCTATTTTAAATATACAATATCTGTAAAAAAAATGTGAAAAGGTCATTATAAAGTTATTTTTTGAGAAATCTTTTTTTCTGGATACGAGGCCAGTTTTTTTTAACTAATCAAAGGGCGCAGTATTACGAGGCCAATTTTTTTTTTACTAACCGGGAAATAACTACTTTTGCTACGCTACTGATTCAGAAAGTTAGTTCTAAAAAGAATCCACCATTGACATTGAAAACTTTACTGCATTTATTAATACCACGAATTTGAATGGATGTTTCAAATCTGACGACGATTAATGGTGGTTACAGTCTTACATCTCAAATGTAACGATCTGTTTGATTAATTATGTTAAATACTCTATTGTTAGTCTGTATATTTGCTTTTTTTAAAAGCTATTGTTAATAGTGTTTCTTAATGTCCATATATATATTTTTTTTATGTTAATGGTATATTTCACGTTACTTTAGGCTTTCCAAGTAATTCTTTTATTATTAATAAAAAAGAATATGATTTTTTTTCTCATTTAACAGTTGCAATCTCTTTAACATCTAAATTAGTGTTCTTATTCAGTACATAATCCGAAACATTTTCTTAATATTGTCGAGTTAAAAATTTGATAGAGATTAATTTGTTAATATTGTTGCATAAGTAGTGTTTAATATCATTTTTAATGAACACCTTATTAACTACATTTATTAATCACTTTTTATTATTAAAAATGTGCATGTTAATAATAGATAAATAGATATACAAAATTCTAAACAGACGAAAAGTTATTCTATTTATTCTAAATTTGTATTAATTGTAATCCGTATTTTTGTAAGAAAATATATTCGTAATGAGTTTAAATTCAATTGATAAAATATATAATAAAATGATATAATGATTAAGCAAAAAATTAGAGTTATTTAAAATCAAAAAAAGATTAAAATCGATTGTGGTCAAAGATTTATCAGTCCTCTTAAATGCTTTTCATAGATTTTCTGTTATAAGAACACTTGGTTTTTCCTAAAGTTGTCTTTAAGAAAATAATAATAATAATAACAGCATTTAAGATTATAACTACTATTAATACCATAACTACTGCAGCTACTGCTATTACTGCAACTACTGCAGCTATTAATACTAATACTGCAGTTATTAATAATATTTAATTATTCTAAAAATATTTTTCTATTTTTTTAGGGTTGTTTCTGATATTTCTACACGATATTTTTTTAAATGTAGATTGATTTATGATTGATAAGATTTATGATAACCAAGGTGTTGGTTATAAAAAGATTATAAAACAATAATTAATAAAACGGCTTTTATTTTTTTTAATCAGGTTTTGTTTTACTTTTTTATTTATTTATAGTTATCGCCTAAGTTCGGTCACTTAAGCTTTGAACATATATTTATCAAGCATAAATAAAAAAATTTCAATTTTTTTTCCTGAAACATACAGAAAATTATGTTAATAATTGATATTGTAAAAATAAAAAAATGAAAAATAAAAACTAGTACTAGTATTTAATTTAAAATGAAAACATTTACTTTGACCGAACTTTCAATACCACCTCATAAGTTCGGCCGCTATATATATACTAATATCGTATCACAAACTTAAAACGTCACAAATAATGAAAACTATTTTTTACCTTGACCGAAGTTAAGGTATTTCAAAATTTCACTAATTTTCATTAAAAAAGTAGTTAACTTTTAAAAATCTTGTATAAATTTGTCATCTTGCCCCGGTCACGTGACCAGATGACAAATTTATACACTTTTTATTTTAATATTTATTTCAAATTGTTATATTTGCAAGCTGAAAATTCATGCAGGCAATGAAAGAACTTAATAGCATAAACATATTGAGAAAGTATTATGGCTTCACGACTTATAGTTTTTCAATAACTCAGGGCTTTCAAAACGTTCGCCATGTTGCCCCGCTTTCCCCTATGCATTTTTTCAAATTGTTGTTTTGGTAAAGAATTATTTCAGCAGATTGCGTATAAATATTAATATTTTTTTTATAGATTCATATTTACGAACTAATTACAAATATTATTTGAAAAATAAAATTTGTAAAATTTGAGTTTTGCATGCTTTTTTTTATATTTTTTCTTAAATGACCGAAGTTATATGGTGACCGAACTTAGGTAATTTTACGGTACTAGATTTCTCCTTTTTACTTTACTTTTTTTTAGATATTTTATTAGTAAATCTTATAACTTCAAAAATTTGGTCAAACAAACTAAACATTGGAAAACCGCACTCCGAAAAAAATCCATTAAAATCTAACAGCTTGTAATCATTCCGTCGTTATTTTACATTGGTATTATAATTAGAGAGTGATAAATTTTAACGGATTTTATTCAGAGTGCAAAATATAATTTTACTTACATTGTTTCATCATCGAAAAACTCAATTTCCCCTTTACTATCTTCGTAATCTGCTCCTCCACCTAATGCACTTCCCTCCACAGTTTGGTATGGTATACTGACTTTGCCTCGGGCTCCAATTAATCGCAAAACACGAAGAGTTAAAACACCAACTGATTCCATTACTTCAAAGTTGGAATGCTCGAATGTAAATATTCCTGGATAATCGTCGTCAAGAATTATTATAGTTGCTGTATTTGCCTTGCCAATAGTTGTTTTAGTACTTTTGTTTTGAGTATTATCAGCAACATGGTAATATCGAATAGCTGTCAGCTTACAATAAAAGTGTTCGTCTAACTCAAAAAGGTCATCATCAATAATTGTAATGGAAATTTTTTTTGTTGTTTCGTTTGGCTTAAACTCAAGCGTACCTTTCACAGGTAAATAGTCATCTCCTTCATTTGCAGTACCATCAGATGTTTCGTAATCCACATACAATGTATCGGATAAGTCATTTCCGAATCTTTTTACAGTTAAAAAGCACTGTCCACAACTTTCTACAACGGTATATTGGTCTGGTTCGAATTGAACACAGTTCTCTAAAACAGTATCTTTTTGTGATGCACTAACTTCTTCCATCTTGTTATTTAGTTCTATGCTATTATCGCGGTCTTTTAATCTTAAAAGATTTCCTTGACCCGTTAAGGCGTGAGTCGCTTGAACACGATAAAAAGCGCGACTTTTATGTTGAAGTTTAATATTTTCTTGTTCAATAAGTTTTTTTAATGTAATACTGTCGGCGTTCGGGTATTTAGTTCGTGCTCGGTGAAAAGCTTCCATTGCTTTTTTTTTTTTATCGTTTATGATTTCTAATGGGTCATCATCTTCTTCTAGTGGAAGAAGTTCAATATCTTTTTCATCAACATTATCATTACTAGAGTCATGCTTTATTGTCGATTTTAAACTAACTGCAACAACATCGCCATCTCCAGTTTGTATAAATGCTTGACCACGTTTTTTAACTTTTCGAATTTTTTTTCGAAGCAGGTGATAAAAATTAATTTTTCTATCAATTGCCCATGCTGCAATAACCATGGCGGGAAAACATAAGAAAGTTATGATACCTTCCCAAATCTCAATGACACCAGGGCTAAAAACGGATAAAATCAAATACAACCAAATGTAAGCAAACATTGAGCAAGATGCAGTAAATGCAAAGACTTTTATATGTTTAATTCTTCTCACTTCTCCAGGCGGAAGAACGACAACGCAAACGGCTGTAATCATAAACAAGTTAAACGCTGCAGACCCAACAATAGTGGAAGGTCCTAGCTCTCCTGCTTTAAAACCTTGCCCTATTACTTCAATCACTGATAATAAAATTTCAGGCGCAGAACTTCCTAAAGCCATTAATGTTAAATTTGCTACTGTCTCATTCCAAATCTTAACTGTCACACTATGTTTTTTACCAGTTACCCGGTCCCTAACCAATACTTCTTTTTCTTTTGAAGTAATAATTTCTATTGATGACATAAATATATCCGATATAATAGAAATTCCGAGAAAAAAATAAAACATTGCAACTAAGTACACAAATGCTTTTCCGGCAATTACGGCCTTGCTTTCCGAATCAGCACTCTTCCAAACTGGAAGGACAACACCTGGTTTACATTTTAAATTTTCCAGAGTACGACATGTTGTATTTTTGACTGTTATATTGGTAAAGATTATTGTTTCGTTGGCAAACACAGCATTGACAAACCAAATAAAAACAAATGTCAAAACAAATTGCATTTTTAAGAAAAATCTTTAGACACCTAAAATATACAAATCATATATAAAATATATTAATTTTAAAATGGCAAACACATACACAAGAAAATTAACTTTTAATAATAATATTGAAAAGCAATATTGTTAAACTTTTGATTGCATTTAATATTATTTAATCATTTGTTTTCTTACTATCTTAATAACATTACTACGATGATGTTTATCTTGTAACAATTTTATTATACAAACCAAAATTTATATTATTTTTCACGCATCTGATTCTAAGGTGTTAAAAGAGATTAGTATTGTGTTTAACGTTTAACGTTCAACACAAAGTTAAACTATCGTTGAATAAAACCGACTAACAACTTCTTTCTCGTCACTGGAAAACACATTTCAATGTTTAAGTTAAATGTAGACACTCAATGAAAGGTTTATTCAAATCAACTGTTTCTTAATTATCTTTTATACATTACACCACGGCTTTTAAATTTTAAATCTTAAATGGATGAATTTCATTTAAAAATTTTAAAGCATGGAATGCAACTGAACGAACGGATTATTTGCAAAAAGAATGAGTGGATGAATTTAAAAAAAAAAGAACGAATGAATTGTCAATGAACGCATCAGATTTGTTATCGTTCAAAAAACATACATATATAAAAAAATTATAAACCGTATAATTTTTAAAGAATATATCTTTTTCCCAAATGTTATTGAGCCATTCCTCTTGCTTCTAATATTTCGCACCCAATGCTAAAATTAAACCAGTATTTTAGATATATTTGAAGACAAAATCAACCAGAAGTTAAACTTTTTTTACGTGTTTTTACTGTGCGGTTTTGTATGCGCACATTACTTTTTATATTATCAAAATAATTTAAATCCGAATTTGAACCGTTTTTAACACTGTTTTATTCTTTTAGAATTAGCAGTTGTTTACAGTCTCGAAGACTCCAACAGATAATTTTTATCTAGCAAATTAAAACGCAAAATGCATGTGGTATCAGTATTTTAAGTTTTCAAAATGTTTTTGAGTTGAATGATCGAGAATTCTTTTGAAAATTAGTGAATGGTCAAACAACAATTCAATTCAAAGTGTTAAATTTGCTCATTCCAATATTTCTGCAGAAAGCGAAAAAAAAATTAAATAATCAAAGGAAGAAGAAACAATTTAGAGATTAAATTTAACTATTTGTGTTTTTTATATTTTTACTAGCAAATATGCAACAACAAAGATACCGAATTCTACAGACATTTTGAATTAGCAAAAATTATCGTTAATATAATAAAATGCGAAGAAAAATCAAAGAAGGCGAAACTTCGAAAAAAATTAATTATTCAAAATAATTCTCTTGATTATTTATATTTAACTAAAGTATTTAAAAAAAAAAAAAATAAAATAAAATAAAATAAAACATTTAAACACAAATAATTACTTTTAAAAAGGCTGTTTTCGACAACATCAAGGAAGTCTTTTGTAACTATCAAAAAGAAGTTCAAAATTTTTGAAGCTTTCCTAATGTGAATTTCAATAGCTGAAGCACAAAAGGTACTTGCACTAATAATATAAACAACGCAATATAAAACCCATTACATAAATGGTAAATATACGTACAAATCAATATTTTCGATCTGATTGTATTTAATACTTTATATATGTTTATTCTAAATAAGCCGATTTTTAAAATTGGATTAAATTATTAAAGTTCCTATATATTGAGTTTGAGGTAAAACTATATTGAAACTAAATCAAAAGAGCTTGTGGTGTCTAACAAAAGTCGCGGAAGCATCTACTTTACAGCAAATAATTATCTTGAAAATTTGAGTTTTTTAACGAGAGACGTTTTGAAAGTTCTATTTTCTTAGAATAAACATTGCTTTTTATATTTTTTGAGCAAATATGAGATTATTTTTAATTTCTCAATGATAAATATGTTTTTAAAATCTCGCTTTTAAAAATCAATAAAAGAAAATGTTTGATTGTGAATAATGTTTTCTTTCTGTATTTCCAAAGAGGCGATAAAAAGGATAAACTGTCTGAAGGAAAGTTTTCCTCATTAGGAGGAAAATATTACCTTTTCGAAATAAAGCACCGAGGTTAGTGCACTACAAAAGATCAATGTTCTAAAGCGTTCATATAATAAATTGATGTCTTAATTGACTAGCTCTAATCGGATTGACTATTAATCACAGTAGATTGCATCGCACTGAAATATTCTATCATTAAAATAAGATTATTTAAAAAAATGAAAACAAAAATAAAAAAAAGCTTTAGCATAGCATGCAGATTGCAGGTTGTTGATTCTTGTCATCATCGTTCGTCAGGACATCGTTTTCTATTGTTCATGAGTTTTTTGATCATATCCTTAAAAATGTTTTTGTTTGCAAAACAATTCTCAAATGATGTTCTCAAATTTTCGAATGAAGGACAAAAAAGAAAAATAATAGTTTTGCGAAAATTAAAACAGATGTTTTGCTCAATACCGTTTTTGAATAAAACTTAACAACAAATCGTTTTTTTTAAACAAGTACTTGTAAGTTTAAAAACAACTTTAATGCGTAGCGCTTATGTTGCCAGTAACGGTGCTTTTTCTGTGTGTTATCCACAGGAGATATAAAATAATACTTATATAAAGGCATCTAATATACTTTTTAATATATATATATATATATATATATATATATATATATATATATATATATATATATATATATATATATATATATATATATATATATATATATGTATATATATATATATATATATATATATATATATATATATATATATATATATATATATATATATATATATATATATATATATATATATATATATTATATATATATATATATATTATACACAATTCTATATATATATATATATATATATATATATATATATATATATATATATATATAGAATTGTGTTGTATTCTGTTAGATATGATACAGCTTTTTGTCGGTTTAAGAGTGATCAATATTTATAATTTATAAAATAGATCAAAATATATTGAATATTAAAAAAAATATATCAAAAAGTTCTTTTATATATATATATATATATATATATATATATATATATATATATATATATATATATATATATATATATATATATATATATATATATATATATATATATATATATATATATCAAAAAAAAATAAATATCAAAAAGTTGTAAAAGCTACGTTCATATTAACAAATTATAAAAACTCAGTTTATATGAATAAATAAATAAAAAACATACCGAGACTAAAATATCTATAAAACTCTTACAAGCTTTAGTAATAAGACCGTTTGGGAAATTTTCGCTTAAGAGTAAAAAGTTATAATGATGACTAAAAGTTAAAAGTTGAGCATTCGTTTTAAAAGTTGAACATGTCGCTTTAAAAGTTGAACATGTCGTTTTAAAAGTTGAACATGTCGTTTTAAAAGTTGAACATGTCGTTTTAAAAGTTGAACATGTCGTTTTAAAAGTTGAATATGTCGTTTTGAAAGTTGAACATGTCGTTTTAAAGATACATCTCATAAATTTGAATCATATTAAATCATATTAATAATCATTTTACATATGATATTAAATAAATAGTATTACTAAAATAATAATAATAATTGAGTAATCATTTATCCATTTTTATTGATGAAATTGAAAAGTTTAGAAAATAAAAGATGTATATAAATTTATTTTATACTTTGGAAATGGTCTATAAATTCATGTTTTTTAATAACAATTTAAATAACTGAGACTTTTAAAATTTGTTTTATTGAAGATTTTTCAGTATGGTTGTGTCACGGGGTGGCAAATCAATGGCACACCTTGACATATAAATTTGTAAAGATATAAAGTTTTATATTTAGATATAAACTTGTCTTACAAAAAATTTATGACATTGTAACGCGTTAAGGTGCACTTGCTGAGGACAAATAACATGGATAATAAGTAAACTTGAGTTGCTATGACGACACATCATTACTAAATGATAAAACCTGTATATAACTTATCCTTAACTGTGGTAATAATAGATATAAATTAGGTAAAATAAAAAAAATAAATGACGCTTTAATACTTTTAAAATATTTTCTACTTTATCCTGATTATAGCTATATTGCATTTAAAGGTAAAATCAACGCAGTTATAAGCTCCCCTAGGTTTTTAAATAAACTTTATTTTGACTCATAAATTTAGCTCTGCAAGTGGTTGTCACCGGTTGTCAAGTGGTAGTCACCACTTGCAAAGCAGAGTTATTTATTAATTGAAAATCTAATTTTTAAAAAAGGAGTTAGATCAGACATCATACTTTATTAAAACATAGCCTAGTGTGACTAAATGTATTAAAATTACATTTATTTAGGCCATAATTTAAAACAGCAGCCAAACATATTTGAAACAGTAGCAAAACAATAACTTTATTATATGATTCAAATTAAAAAAAACACTTTTTTCATGCAGATGTCAATTTTTATATTTATCTGCTTCGTATTTTGGTAAAAAGTATACGCAAAAAACAACAATAACAAAAAACACTTTAACCACACTATAAAGAAGTAATGTTTATGACATTAAAAACTCCTGAGCTCCACACCGTTTCTGCATTTTTTTTCTGTTTATATATTTAACAAAAGAAGACTCCGTATATGCGTTTTAGTTATTTTCTGCTTTGTCACACCCTGAGCAGTGCCGGATCAAGGAGGAGGGGGGGGGGGGGGGCTAGGAGGACTATAGCCCCGGGCCCCACAAATTTAGGGGCCTCCAAGAATTTTAGAGGCTTTTTTTTTTTCAAGTCATTTTTAGGCTCTGGCCCATAAAAAGGCCTCCAAAAACAAAAATAGTCCCTGGCCCCAAGAAGTCTTAATCCGCCACTGAACCTGAGTACTAGAGCTGTATGTTTAATTATATCAGGATTATGCTGATCCGTTTTGATAAAATAGAAAATCTTTACTCGATTAGTTATACAAAGGTTTTTTGTTTTTTTTATGAATATATAAATTTTTTTCTAATGGTAGAGTAAAAAAATTTGTAAAATCAACTGAATATAGACTTTGCAATAAATAAATAAAATTATAGCGAATCAATTTGAGTTTGTAAAAGTTTATTGCAGTTATATATTAAAAAAAGGATTTCAAAAAAAAAAATGGTTATCAAAGAAAATTAAACTAGAAAACAGACCTTAAAACACATGCACATGCAGCTTAACTTTTTTTTTGTTGAATTAAATAAAAAAGCAAACAACAGTATTGTGGGCATTAGTTAAAGAAACATATTTTTTCTTCTATTTTTTGTTTTGTTCTATGTTTTCATTTGTTTAACTATTGATTAATATTAGAAGTATAAATAAAATAAAAAGTATATAAACAATGACTGAAGCTACATTAAGAAAAAAATCTAAAATATTAACTCTCCTTTAAGATTTCAATATTTTTTAATGACCGCATTATAAAATGTGAGGTCAAAATCAAAAGACTTCACAGGGAGATAATCAATATCTGATGCCAATATCTTAAAAAGATAAGTGACCAACTGGTAAATGACTTATTCGAGTATTGTGTAATGGAGGTTGATTGCTGCTGGAAGGTTTGCCCGAAAATCTTATAGGAAGCAATTATTACTGATGTCATAAAGAAGAAGTACCTTTAGTCGACAATCGAACACAAAAAGTTTATATTTTTTAACTGTCAAATTATCATTGTTAACACTAACTAACTAATAATAAATTATTACTAATATTAACCTTGACTGCTTAACAATTTCCGCTCCAAAACGATTTAAATCACAAATATAGGCCGTAACTTCTATATGTAAATGCTAAACGAATACTATTTTAGTATCATTTTTTACTTTTCTCTATAAATTTTTCAAGCTCAAATCCAAATTGTAATATATATTTTTTAACGGCTCTCTCTATAGTGACTATTATCTGCATAACTTCCATATGAGATTTACTGTTTTTGTAACTTTTCGACTCTTCTGAAAATTTACGTACCAGAAGCTACATTACTATGAATATTAATGTTTTAAAAATTCGACTGTCAATTAAATTAAATTATATATATATTTCCTTAAGTCGATTAAAATCGTCAGTTACATTTTTGAAAATGACTATTACAGTTTTGAAATCTTCTAAAAGTTGATTTTATTTCCTAAATATGGAAAAAACAAACTTTTAAAAATAAAATGTAATAAAAGTAATAAAGTTTTTTATTCGCAAAACAAAATGAAAGCAAAGCCAATCCGGCAGCAAGACAGTTTTTCCTATAGCCCCAATAGTTTAGGGATCCCCTTAAAGTCATACTAAATATCAAAAAGTTTGTACAGCCACAAACTTAACACGTGATTTTATAGGTTACATTTAGATTTTAAACCTGCACAGTTTTATTTTTCTTAAGGCCCCGCGTAAGCTTAGAACGGCCCTGTATGAAAGCATTTAACGAAAAAAATTAACGAAACGCATAACAACAGTTTAATTAGATACAAATATTGCTATAACAACAGTTTAATTAGATACAAATATTGCTATAATGTTATGAATTAAATAAAAATTTTATTATACGTTTTATGAGATTAAAAAAAATGTTATTAAAAGAATTTATTGTGAATGTTTTCAAACTTTCAATGCCTACGTTTGAATTATTAAACAAAAAATTAAGTT